GGCATCACCGTCGTGCTAAAGGTGGTGCATGCAGGCACTTGGTAGGATGAGGCCACAAGCACCATGAGCCACCTGAACCCTGGGCGCTCAACAGAGGAAAAGGGCTGGCCATCCAGAACAAGCATCTCCCCAGTGCTCTGGATGACCTCGCTCGCCTTGGGAATGCACCCCACTTTGTTTCCGCCTTTCCCCCACTGGTCCAGGGTGGCCTGCCTCTGCTTTGGGGGGATGGGGGCTCTAGAGCTAGAGGGGGACTTCTTTTTGGGCACGCTCCCACTGGTGCTAGACTGAGGAGAAACAAGAGCAAAGGGGTCCTGCCTCCTGAGATGCAGCAGGATTGCCATGGTGGCAAAGTGTTTCACCTCCTTGCCCCAGCTGATCTGCTTTCAGCAGTGCTGGCAGGTAGCATACCTGGGATAATCTGCCACTTCAAAATGATTCCACACTACACTACCCACCCATTTTTGGGTGATGATACCACCTTATCCCCTCCTCAGCAGGCAGAGGCACAACAATATGAGAAGCTGAGCCACCTGCCCCCACAACCTCTTCCAAGCTGCCTTCTGGAGAAGGAAACCTGCCTCCAGGGGAACCCTGAGGGGTGTGGGGCACAAACTCAGATTCCCCCTCCTTCCCCAGAATTTTCTTGGCTATGACACGCAGCTCCCCTGCTTCCAGATCCAGCTCCTCCTCTGCCACTGGAAGGCTCATGCTGGCAACTGAAATAGGACTGGCGACCATCATGCTGCTGATGGTTGTGGTTAGTGGTGGTGCTGCAGGTGCAGACACAGCTCCCACCTCCTTGCTCCCACTAGCAGTATTAGACACCTTGCTGACAGGAAAGAGGATGTGTCTATGTTGCGGGGGGGGAACTTGCAGCTCTCCCTCGCCTGCCCGAAGACTTGGCACCTGCCTTTCCAGCACACTTCATGATGTTTGGTGTGCTGCAAAATGTGTGTGTGTCTATGTGCTATAAATGTAATATATGTTGTGCTTTCCAGCAGAGTGATGACACACTGTCAGGGAAAACAAAGATTTCTTATTTTGGGGGGGGGCAGGGAGGGGTGGGAAGACAGGCTAACAAAAACATAAGAGGATTCTGGGGGAAGAACAACCTGGAAGGAATGGATAGCAATAGGGATGACAGGCAAGGGTAAATAGGAAAGGACTGGATAGAACTTGGTGGCAAGAGACTACCTACTACCAAGTCAGAGCCCTTCAGACACTGCTGCTGCAACAGAGAGACAGACAGCTCACAAAGACACACAGATGAATTCACACAGCCTGACAGGTTGTTTCTATGTCCCTCCCCTATAGCACTGTGATTGAAAGGTAACTCAGGGAAAGATCACAGTCACTGGCCAGCTACAGATGTCAATATCAGAGCAGTTCCCCCGCCTTTCTCAGTTTCTGTTTCCTGCATGTCTGCCTTCCGAAACTTCAAATCTTTTCTGAATTGATTCAGTTCGGACCTTTTAATGGGTCTCTCGATTCAATTTGGATTTGGAGATTCAGCCACCAAATTGAGCCAAATCTCCTCCAAAACGAATCGGCTACCAAACCTTTGCACAGCCCTATAAGACATACTCACAGTTATCAAATCTAAAACAATGAGTCCACCTAGCAGATTATTGCTTCGAATAGCTTGATTTTTTTAAACATGAATTATCACAACTAGAATTATTATTCCACTATTTCAACTATTTCCAGTATTTTGTGCAAAGCAGACTACTTTCTGTCAATGTCCTTAACAATTACTGTAATGTTATTCTACAAATTTTCAAGACCTACTGTTATACAATGTACTACGTAATATGGCTTTAATTTATTATTTTAATTATTGTAGGGTCTAGAATACCCACTAATGGAAAAGAACCTCATTGCTGCCCCATGCAGGGGGATCTCAACACTCTCCCCCGGCGCTGTAGCAGGCAGGACAACTATACACCTCCCCGCACAGGACATTGGACAAGCTGCCTCAGCACTTCACAGTTAAACCTATATAACTGCCAGCACAGCAGAAGAAGCAGAGCTCAGCCACTGCCAAGTTTAGGGGGCATACTGCCAGGCAGCAGGTAGGTGGACAGCCTCACACAAGCTTCACCAACTACCACAGCCCAGGGCTACCTTTTGCTTTTTCACAAGCACTCTCTGAGCAAGGAACATTTTGGAGGAGGTTCAGCCCCCATCCCAGAGCATATCCAGAAGCCCTCTTCTGATGGCTAAAGACCAACTGTAGGTCTATGCCCCAGAGTTTTTCAAAGAGTTCATGGGGGCTCAGCTCCTCAGGAAGCAGAAAAGCTCTATCTCCTGTCACTGGGGGACAGGCAAGGCAGTTCTCCCACTGAGACTTATGCAAGTCTTGCACTAACTCATCCTGCTAGAGGATTCCTACAACTAGGCCACACCTGCCATGCACCGGTGTCTGTGCTGAGGCACATGCTCCTGCCCCCTGACGTGCCAAAGCCCTGTGCCTCCCATGCCTGTCTTCCTCCTGGCATCCAAGGTAGTCCATCTAGCCACTTCCATCTAGCCATCCAAGGTAGTCCTGGACACTCCTTTAGCCCCACAGAGCACCCAGCCACACTGACTCTAGGGGACTGGGTCACTCCTGGATCTGGGTGACAAAGCCCAAAAAGATCTGCTACAGTTGCGGCTCACACAAGGGAAATTACATAAGGCCACCCAGAGCTCAGCAGATCAGCCACTCCACAGGTGAGTTCTGGGGGTTGGAGGTGGATACTGCACCTTAGGGGGGCAGGGGAGGACACACTAAGAGAGAAATGCCTCACCAGTCAGCCTTGCTACCATCACAAACTTACACAGCCAGCTAATAAACATAACCTCAGGTCAACAGCAGTCCCAATCACATAAGCCCTCACAGGTCAGGCAAGGCTGGTACAAACAGGACTGTGACAGCTTGCTGCTGCACTACAGGCCCTGCACAACTGCTTTTTGCTGCCATGAGCTACAGACAGCCTCATGGCCAGGGCTCTCTGGGCCTGAAGCCACATCCAAATGGCCAAGACCACGGGGTGCAAGAGCATGTCATTTGATCTCCAGCCACCCTCACCCACTCCTTCCACAAAATTTCTACCCTCTTCCCTATCCCAGTGACCAGGCGTCCACTGCCATCCCAAGAGCTAGGGACAGACATTACATATAAACCAGTTTAAGTGATCGGAAACTGGTTTAAACCTGTTACAAAACAAATGTTCAGTGCACATAAACCAGTTTGAAAATGGCTGAAACTGGTCTGCGATAAACTTAGTTGAATGTAGTATCAGACTTAACTAATTTGAGTCAAACCAGTTTATGCAATCTGTTCCACACCTCCTGTTTAACTTAAACCAGAGTCCCCCAGCATCCCAGATGCTTTGCAGCCCTGGGCTGTGTTCTCTGCTCCAAAGCAGGGCTGGCTCCACCCCTCTGCTCCCTGGCTGGAGCTCTGGCAGAGACCGCAGGCACAGCATGGTCTTCTTGGCTTCTCCCTCCCCCGCACCTCCATACCACTCGCTGCTCATGCAGGGATTCCCCCCAGCCCTCTCCCACAGCATAGATCATAGCCAGCAGGTGGTATACTAGCTAATGCTGAGAGATGTCCGTGTAAAGCAGGCAGGACAAAGGCAGACAGAACAGTGTCCACTTAGGGCTTTTTGGAGCTAATCAACAGGTCAGCTGGTAATGTCCCTCCACATTCCTTCCTTGGAAAAAGCTGTTTAATAGCTTGAACTAATGAGAGAGACTTTTGTTTTCTTGATGGGATGCTAAATGCTCTGTTATCAACTCCCTGTGTAACTCTGCTGTTTAACCAAATGCTGTGCAATTCCCTGATAGTTTCCCCACTGGTCAGGAGCACCGAGGGAGGGAACCCCTCCCTAATCAGTGTATCCTGCTAGGGCCTGGCCATGCCCCCCATCAGCTCAGCACTATGAAAGGAAAGGGAGGGCTGCTGTAGCACCCTCCTGGCTTCAAGCCTGAGCCACAGCAGGCATGTGCCTGCATTTCTTCAGTCTAGAGGGGATGTCTGTACAGTTACAAAGTGATTCAGTCTAGCCAGGTTAGACTAACCGGCAAAAATTAAATCAAATCAGGCTCAGGCTTTTTGAGTGTCTGTCCCTACCCAAGGGGTCCCCAGCCTGTTTAAGTGCACCCATTCTCAGTCCTTGGTTGGCTATCCCAACCATACCTAAAGTGTTCCCGTGTCCCCCTAAGGCCTTATCTACTCTCACCCCCGATCCATACAGCTATCCTGCTTGCTCTGCAACCGTCTGCCTGCTCTGCCTAGGATTCCTCTCAGTTGCATCTCTCATACTACCTGGCTCTGCTCTGTCTGCATGTCATACTCCCCACAGGGCCCCTTTTATACGTGCAAATTGGCTGCAAAGGGATGCAGCAAATGTACCTCCTGGAAGCAGCAAAACCCTGCTAGGCATTGTTTTAGCATAACAATGGTTTTCAGTCAGTGTACAGCCCAGGCAGACTGTGCACAGGCAAAAGAGAATTTCTCCAAGGTGTAAGTGACCACTGTTGTCTCCACAGATCACAGGACACTACACAAGGCAAGCTCAGTGGCTATGCAGACAAGTTACTGGGTAAACTGTATCCACACAGTGCACTTAAACCCTCAAAGTATGACTGAAGTATGGGAAAATAGCACTGAGATGGGCAGGTATGCAAGAGGCAATTAAGTGGCACTTCATCCATCAACTTGACAAAACAGGATTCTCCCCTAGTGCTTTCCAAATTTGCCTTAGCTTCCCAAAAAACAGATATCCCTCTAGCGAGTTTATTTCAAATTACAGACATTTGTTCTATACCCGAGTCAAAAAACAAGTGCCGCATAATATTAAATGCAATTCATTCATTTCATTATTAAAAACCCGTTCAATATAATATACACTACAGTAAATGCCAATACTTATAGCAACAACATTAAGGTGAAAATAAGCAGGGCTCTTGCCAAAATTAAATCAGAATGCAAAAGGAAAACAACTTACTTTTTTGAGAGCACAAACTTTTAAAACTTTTTCATATTTTTCTTTTACATATTCTTTGTCAAATAGAATGTTACTCCTCACTGTGCCAGAAAAAACCCAGGGCTGCTGAGAAACATAGGCAGTTCTTCCTCTAACATTTATTAAACCTTCATCTTTTGGCACTTCACCAAGTACAGCACTTAGTAGAGAAGACTGGAAGATATTTTTTAAAAAGAGTTAAAACCATTTCTTATGAAGGCAGTAGACAAAATTCAGAAAGACTCCTCATGCACTATTTGTGTGTTCAGAAAATAAATTCTGCACTTTATGCAAAACAGGCTTGATAAAAAATTTCAAAGGCATCCAAACTTCTGTAAATGGGACTTAGGTTTCAAAGTCCACCAAGTATTGTTGAACTTTTGTCCTTTACCTGAATTACTGATTGCATTTAAAAATATAATTTAGACAATTTACTAAAAAAGCATTTTATTGTACTAAAAAGGCCAAATTTAATAATGCAGTGAATTTAAAAATTTTTAAATTTAACTTGTTTATTCAAATAAGTACAAATTCAATAATACATTTCAAATACATCCAGAAAGTAGAATATCTGGGAATGTACACTTCAAACTTTATTCCTCACTGTAAGTGGACTTTGCAAGCTGGTATGCACATATAACTTCTAACACCACAAAACATAACTGTGTTTGTGTATTTTCAAATTCATAAGTCTACAATGTATACAGTCAATAAAACTGTAAAGCAACAATGCAAAATAGAGCAATGCATTAAGACTTACTTTCCCAGCTCCTACAGGGCCAATCACAGCCAATAATTCTCCTGGTCTGACAGTAAATGAAAGCTGTGCAAGTGTTGGGACTCCCACGCTCTAAAAGTTTGTTAAAGAGAAAAAACCCACTTTTTAATTGTCTGGAAAACACATATCCTCTTTAATACAATGAATGATGCATATAAATTAGGAAATAAATCTCAACTTAAAAAGATTCTTTAAAATTCCTTAAGTTTTATCTATTTCTAGTCTATATCTACTTTACCTTATATTGTTTATACATAAGGATCTCTGGACATGCTTTGAATCTCTGCACCCAAACTATAACTGTAATATTGCCTGTTTTACTAGAAATGGAAAGCATACCTTAACCTATAAGTTTTTCTAAATGATAAATTCTATGAACCTGATGCAGCTACTATTGATGTCAGTGGCTTTTGAATCAAGGTATGCCTCTAATCTGTATCTTCCACAGCACTACGCACATCAAATAATAATTTAATTACAACAATTCAAATAATAAGTATAAATAAAAATAGATGGTATTACAATAGTGAGAAAGGACAAACTACATTCAGCCAGTGTAAGAGAAGTGGAGTGAAATAAGAGGTCAGCACTTTCAGTACAGAAGGCGATTATGCCCAAAATCTAACATTACTACCCCCTGCCCCAATCATTTGCCACTTCTGAAAATGTAAATCAAATAAAATTAGTTTAGTTTCTTTGCAAATATTTACAGGGACCAAATCATTCCATTTTTGTTTTTTAAGAATGTAACGTGGAAGCCAATCCTGTCTCTCAAAGTTCATATAAGAATAGTACATCTCTACATTATTTCCAGATCAAGATAGTATCCGAAAAGCAAAATACATTCCTTGCTGATCTTGAACTCTCTTGGTGTGCAGAATTAAAAAAAAAATTTTTAGTTGTATTATCCTCCACTAGGTGGCAGCAACAGGACATCTTTGACAGTATGTTACACGTTGATTTCTCAAGCAGACAAACATTATCAGCTGATAATGATTTCACTGTAGTTACCCCAATTTGGGCCAGATCTCCAGCTAACATATATGTTTATTTTAAAGAGGAAAATGTGGACATTGACTTGTAGATGTGGGCATTGGTCCGCATGCCTCAGCTGACCTGCTGCTGCACTTTGACATTGCCTCAAATGGCCACAGGGTCCTCAGTTTTTCCTGCCATCCAGTTGAGAGCCCCAGAATCAGGGAGGCTGCCATGTCCACGGGCTGCCACTGCCAGGGACTGCAGGCATGTGCACCGTGAGGTTCCGAGAGCAAGGTCAAGGGTTTGCTCAAGTGCCAGAACTGGCACATGCCCATGCCACAGGAACACAATGCCTAGTGGCCAAGAGCAGGCGGCAGAGCCCTATGGCTCAGACCAGGGCTGTGCAGCACTGCTGATGCCCAGATAGGCCCACCAAGGAAACTCGCAGTGGCCAGGAGCAGGCAACAGCTGGACTCAAGCCCCAGAGAGCAGATAAATGCCAGGCAGGGGCTGCTGAGGAGCCACCCCTTACCCCATGGCTGGAGGGGATCTCAGCCATGGTGTTCTGAACCTGGCCGGAGTTTGGGCCCCAGTGGATTGGCTGACCAGGAGCAAATCTGCTCCTGGTTAACACCTACGTGTACCCACGGACACTTCTCCATGTGCTCCAGGGGTGGGGAGGGGCGTGCTTTAATTAGAGTAGCTCTAATTAAAGCGCCACAGTGTCTCGTATATCAGTGTCCCTGTGCGGCAAAGGCACTTGAACTAAAGCTCATTAAAGCCATTTTGAAGGAAGGGGATGCTGATACACAAAATGCAGAGGCTGGCTGGAGCGCACTAATTAGCACACTCCAGCAGACTCGATTAATCGAGCCTGCTCTGGCATACTATAATTACAGCATGTCAGAGCAGCCTCCCAGCACATCTACAAGCACCCTGTATTTTCTGGTAATAGAGAAAAGCCAGTTAGACTAATCTTACACACATTAACCGACTGCATTTGGTGCACATTAGATTAATCTAATGAGTATTAAAGCATGTCATGTAGACGCACGCTCTGTGTCCTACGAAAATGCTGACACAAACCAATGTAGATGGAATTGTGAAGTCTAAGAGTTCTGGCAACATTTATATAGCCTTTCATATACATAAAGAATTTTTAAATGTTTAAATAATATTTGTTGAATGCAGACAACCTCTACAGACTCAAGTTATATTTCAGTTGTGCAACTTTACTTTTATTCGAATTGTTTTAATATATTTTTGATTTATCTTTCATGTATTTTCTTCCACTTTTCTTCAAAAGCAATTTTGAGCTTACAATGGTCTGAGTACATTTTAAAAGAGTAATCTATAACTGAACAGTATAGCTACTATCATAATTTAAAGAAAAAAAAAGAAAATCCTTTCCCATTAGCTGCCATGAACTTCCAGTCTCAACACTGATATACGCAAGAGCATTGAGCTGTCTCCAGACCAATAAGATGATCCACAGCTAGTCATTTCATTAAAATGCACAAAAAAGTAAAACCTGAAAACGTACTATAATCAGTTCACTATAGTCCATACTGCAAAATGTTATATTCTTAATGAGCAACAAATCATATCTGAGCTACAAGAGAAATGCTATTCAATCATGAGAAAAATTAACTATAAAGAAAAGAAGCATTTTACTTAACCACTTTTAAAATACAGTTGTGTCTTAAAGTTATGATTCAGTTAAATTCATAGCATTTTAATAACTGCCATATAATTTTGGCTTTACCTACTGACAAGTTTATATATACAGGCAGTTCTCGACTTCCACTGGCTCAACTAGTGGTGATCCGCACTTGCAGCGCTCCGCCTATGTTATTACTTACAGCACTGATCCTTGCACTTCCAGCATCGCATGACATCCAGCCCGCAGCCCGCAACCCACTCTGGGACTCATAGCTGTGGTACCTGGGTGAGCCCCACACTGCCGAGGTCACCTCCACCTGCCCCAGGATCTGTGCCCAGCCGAGAAGGGGCCTGTGTGGCTGTGAAGCCACCGGAGGCCAGGGCCGGGCCAAGCCGCAGTGGGGCGCAGTGCCCCTAGGACTGGTGCCCACCTGTGCCCAGCTGCGGAGTCACAGCAACCTGTGGGTGGGCAGCAGCTTCACGAGACCCAGCCCTAGGGGTCCCCGGCCACCGCCTGCCCGGTGGTGGTAGCTATGGCGGAAAGAAAGTGGTGGCGGTGAGTGCCCTCAAACTTCCTGCCCCCTCTGTGCTGCTCCCCAGGAAGGTGGGGCACTGCAGCAGGATGCCCCCATCTAGCTGGGGACACATGGCACTCCCATGAGCACAGAGTGGGGCAAGAGCACCAGCCTGTCTTGGAGTCTGGATGGGGGAGATCCTGACAGGGCAGCAGCATGCGGGGCTCCTAGGCAGAGCTCCAAGCTCCACAGAGAAAGGCTTCCTCCCTTCTGCTCAGCAGTGTAAGTCAGGCGGCAAGTGCCTCATGCGGGGTGGGGCCTAGAAATAGCTGTTGCTGCAGCTGGCAGCTGGGTGCTCCAGCCAACACTGCCCCATGCACTGCCCTGGCCCCAGTTGCTCTGCTACTCCTCCATTGTGCTAGGGCCATGCTGGTTCCTATATTGGCTCCATCCCCACTGACATCCTGCCCTAGCCTGCTCTCCTCTACTTGCTCACCGCTCCTGTCAACACATGAGAACTAATACAAACACTTCCACAAAGAATTATTTAGATGAAGAATACTTGCGGCACCAAGTACAATATAGATTTATATACACAGATACTTAAATGGAGTTTTGTGGAGAGAAAATTACCTTATCCCAATAACAAGTCAAGTCTTGAACATGAAGCAAAATACTCTCATTGTTACTCTGCAGCTGTGACCTTAAAGTTGAAATCTCATCAAGGACCAGAAAGTTCTGTAGTAAAAGAAAACACAAGGAAAGGAAAGGAAAAATGCATGGTTTCTGAGCATACGGTATACAAATCCATGTCATCTGTGAGAAAAATACTCCAACCTCAATATCATGTTACTGAAGCCAAGTCCAAGGATTTCAAATTAAATTAACTGCATGTGTACCTATTTTACTTACAGGTTCATCCATAAGTGTATATTTCATAGTTTGGGGGAAAAAACACGCTTATTTTGTTTCTGGATTTCTCTCTCATGAGAGAGTCTGTATCACAATAAACCCTCACCTTCCATGCAGAAAGGAGGCTCTTCCACACCTGTAACATCTTCACCTTGCACTCTCCTCTACATTGGGTGGACCATCATTTAAACAAATAAAATAGCGTATTTTTGTTGGAGGTTTTTTGTTTTTTTCTATTTGGTTTATTAATGAATTCAACTTATCAAATTTTATAACGAATTTAACATTTAAAGATATATCCAATCCCCTAAAACATACATAATGACAGATATGTATCTTCTATCTACATTAAACTAAGTCACTGTTCACAGGAGTCTTCTGTTGTTTTTTCTGCTTCCTTCGGGCCTTGACAGTTTAATATTGTGATGCATCTTTGATCTAGTCAAAAACAGGACAGGAGTGAAGACGAACAGATCACTTCCACTCAGCTCAACTCTTGTTCTAGTCTTTGCTAATGCACCTTCTTAGCCATCTACACTTCAACATGCTTGGCACTAGAGTTCAGGGCAGAGAAAATAAGGCTTCAAACAGTACTGTCCAGAGCCAAAAAACATGCAAGGCTGGCAGGGGAGAGGGGAAACCAACACGCCCAGGACTAGTCCTATCTGCTATCTAAGTCCAGCAGTCCTCTAGCTTGAGCCCTAAATGTTTAACAAACTTTCTAACTCTACCCTCCAAATTCAAGTTAATTCACATTCCTCCAGCATCCCAGGATGCGCTGCATCTCCCCCACAACCACTCCCCTCACAGGGCAGATAGGCTAGCCTTGGCCCAAACTGTCTGCTCCAGCAGAGCAGGGAGGTGTACTCTAGTGCTCCTCACCCCCACCCCCCCCGGGCTTCCGCCTGGGCCACTGCAGGCATGTGGCTGCATTTCCAGAATCAAAACTGTATGTTTGTGTGACAGGAGTATTGCTACTGCAGCCCTTCTAGTGGTGACTCCACCCTCCTGTTACGGGCCAACCACCTGCTTACTCTCCTGCCACGCCTTGATCTTAATTGATTAATTGGTTGATGCAATTAGCAGGAGGCTGCCCCACTTTATGCACCCCGGTGCCAGGGGGCGCAATCTGTGGCTCCCTTTCCTCCCCTACACAGCAGCCCAAGCCTCGCAGATGGTACTGACGTGGTTTTGACCTGGGCCCTGTTGCAACTTGGCCCTCTCCTTTACCCCCTTGGGGCTTCTCGCTGCCCCCTTGCTCTGGGGCTTCCCACTGCCCCCTTGCTCTGGGGCCTCTCGCTCCTCGCGGCCCTCTCTCCAGGCTCCTCACTGCCCACTTTGCTCTGGGACTTCTCACTGCCCCCTCGCTCTGGGGCTGGGGTCAATGCACCCCAAATACTGAGCCCTCTATGGCGCCAAGGTCCCCACGCTCCCGTGGAGCCACTATGAGGCCTCCTCCAACCCCTAATAGCTTCACCCGGTCGTCTGGTTGAAAAAGCAAACAAAAAAACACAGAGCCCCTGGGCTATAACATAAAAAGCTAAGCCGTCCGGCCAAACAACGTTCGATCCCTACCAGGAAAACACTCCAACACCAGCAGCGACCAGGGGATGCTCACACAGTCAGAGTCCTCCCCTCTATCTGTACTAGCCAAGCTCCTCCTCCCTCGGTCACCAGAGGGGAACTGCCCTCCTGGCCTCTTGCCTGAGCTTAAAGGGGCCAGGCCCTGCCCCTTCCTGTCAGCTGGCTCCCAGGCAGTTGTCCTGGCAACCAGCACCTGTTACCCTGGCTGCCCTGGTAACTGACAGCTGGGCCTCCCCCTCTTGCCACTAGGGGTCTCTCCCGAGCTGTTTTCTGCTCTCAGGCACAGGGCACCTGAGTGCTCTGCAACAGTCTGTCTACTTACTTATCAATTCAATCTATGCAGCTTAAACTAACCTGCAAAAATTGAATCAATTCAGCCTCGGGCTTTTTGACTGTCTGTTCTGAGCCTACTTGTGCTAGTTCTAATATGTTTCTTAATCTATATGCATAAACTATCACCTACTTAAATTATAAAAATGTATGTATGAACACCAACATATGGGAGCTTCTACTGTAACCAGCTAACACGGCAATCAAATATCTATATATAAATCATTTTCTTCTCTTAGAAGAAAGAAATTGTTACTTTTGGGCATTTGTACATGCCACAGGGGTTTACTCTGATATAATTCTTCCTAAATCATACTGCCTTAGATGCAGGGGTAGCAGTGGACATAGTCTTCCTGG